CACGCACACACACACACACACACACACACGAACATAGCTCAGTGCGAAGGACCTGGGTTTAATCCCTAGTACCACAATAAAAGAGTGGGAAAAAGCACACAGGAGATTTCAAATTTGAAACTAGACCTGGCTGTGGCATTTAATAGCTTGGGTGATCCTGAGAATTTATCAACTTCTCTAATCCTCAGTTTCTTTATTTCTAAAATATGATGATACCTAGTCAAAAGGTTGGTGGGAAGACCAGATCACTATATATATAACACAATGAGGGGCAGTTATGGTATGATCAAATTTAAAGCAGTATCCTAAGACTTGGATTTGTATTGTGTACTTGTGGGGAAATAGGAAATAGTCTCATGGTTTTGTTGTTGTTGTTTATGTGTTTGTTTTTCTTTTTTAAAAAAAATTACATAATGACTTTAATTCCAAGTACTGAAGTGTCCTGGGTAAGGACCACAGCACAAATCCTAGGGACATAGACATAGATGCTAGTAAAATGCTAATGGATACATTAACTTTTTTCTCAAGTAGAGTTATTTTACAAAGATGTGAAAATTATACATTTTTATTTTAAACTTTGTTGAGAATTGTGGACATTAAAAAGTTCTTTCCTTTTGAGTTATATTTCTGAGATAAACTTCATGGATAAATGGCCTTGGAAAATGTGTCCAAAGGGGATGGTAGTGTTCTATAAAGAAGGTGAGAGTGCAGGAGTTTAACCTATGATGGTCATTAAATACACCATGGAAAGCTTTCCAGAGCAGCTAAGTGACCCTGAGGTTTGAGGTTGAGCAGGCTAAGAACCTAGGTCCTTTCTGTCCTGTCAAAAGAAATGGTGGCTGGGAAGGAATCTCTTGTCTTTTCAAAAGAACTCTGTGTTGTGAAAAGGATCAGTTGAAGTGCTCTAACTCCCAACAGTTGAGATAGTTCATGGGACCCAGACAGATTAGGCTAGGAACAACTTGGAAAACTTGCCTTAAAAAAGTTGTGTGGAAGCTTGTGTCAGTTTTCCTAGGGAATTACTGAACCAGGTTTGCAACTAATAAAGAACCTCAGGCTGTAGTATGACCAGACCCAGGGAGCTTGGAGATCCATGCAAAAGAACCTGCCGGTGCTGAACATGGGTACTGAGAATAGAGAGAAGGGATCTGCAGAGATGGCCTCAACTCTACTTTGTGGCCGTCACACCGAGACAGGAATTTTCTATCAGCTTGCAGAATTTATTTCTCTTTCATACTTTTATTAGGTCTTTTCCATTAGAACTTTTTGTGCCTATCCCTGATTAAGCATGTACTTTTGAACCTCTTGAGAGCTACTCTAAAAAAATAATGATGTATAGTGACACTATGTTGTCTATTCAATGTCCCCAGGAGCTTAATAATAGTTTGTGGTTAGTGAGTGAAAAGTGTGACTGCAAAGTATTCAGGGACTGAAGTGGTGCCACTCTCTAACTCAGTGACCTTGGGAAAGTTCAGCAGTTGCTACAGAAGCCATATAATTTATAAAGCTCAATTGATCCTCCACAGAAAAAATGTATCAACTACTGCCATACAGGAATATACTTGTTACCTAAACCTGCTTGTGGTCCACAGAGTACCAAACTAACGGCAATACACTCAGTTACATTAAACCGTTTCCATAATAAAGAGTAACTTAATATGGTTCTTATGAAAATGGCCCCAAACAAAATTCAATTATCAGCAGGAGCGAAATCTGCAATACTCACAGTGTCAAAGTTTCATTGCACAGACCCCGAAACGCATTTACAGGGACTGCAGTCATATAAGGGTTGTCCGTAATTTCACTGAGAGAAAGAGGAACAAAAACACTCGATGAAGAAATGCTTTCTTCCTGGAAATGGCCTCTTGTTGCACATAGACACTTTAAATAACTCAGTACAGCGAAATCTCTTTTATTGTTTGGTGTTTGTTGACCCTTTTCAACCACTTGGGGCTTGGAGGTCAGGTCAGGTGGTGAGAGCGGTCCTAGATGGACAGGAATTCAGAGCTGCAAGTGAGCAGTAAGTGAGCAAGACTTTGGAGTTTATCATTTCACATTTTGCTAACTCTATAGTGCAAACTCATCCTGTGTAATTCTCTCTGCACATATCCCTTTGCTTCTGTCTACTTAGGTAAGATGATTCATCTGTGTCACAGGGGTTTTTTTCGGGGGAAAAAAGCACAAAGCTACTAATTGAAAGTCACAGTAAGTTGTTTTGGGCATGACTCTTGACTGTTCCATGGGACCCTGCTAAGACAAAATCACTTCGATTCCCTGTTCCTCAGTTTCATTTGTCAAAAAGGAAAATAATAACTTCCTTCTATGCCTTATAAGATGGTTGAGTAGAGCAAATGCAATGCATGAGAAAGTATTTAAAAGTTATTTAAACCACTCTAAAACATAAGTATCATAGTTATCATTAATTTTGCCCTATATTCATTTTTTCCCCATCAATATGCGATAATTTCTCCCACTTAAAAATAAAACAAACAAAACCTTTTCTTTCCCAATCCTCCATCAATTGGGATATTATCTTTTCCCTTTTAATAGCAAACCTTCTCAAAAGAATTTATTATAATAATTTTTTCTAATTCTTCCCCTCCAGTCCTCCTTTGAGCTTTGGCATGGATTCCAGTCTGACTTCCCCACCCTACCACTCCACTAGAATTATTCCTGTCAGAATCACCAGTGACCCACATTATTAAATCCCATGGCCATTTCCCAGCCTCATCTTGCTTCTTCCATCAGGGTTGTCACAATCGATCACTGTTTCCTCCTTGAAACTTGGCCAAACTTCACAGTTGCACCCTAGTTCTTGTCAGTGACAGAAAAAATGGTGTTAAACATTGCAGGGTATGCATACTTACAGTATGAAGAATATGTCAGTGGAATAAACTTTGGTCAGGCCAGGGAATATCCTAAGTCCAGTGTTGAATATGCCACTAAATTATATGAAAAAAAAGAAGAAGAAAGAGGGACAGTTTCAGGTAAGAAAATTAACACATAGGAAGTAGAATAGTGTAATATGATAGCCAAAAGCATGGATTCTGAAGTCAGTCTGGAGCCAACTCCTAACTTCTTCACATAATATCTCACTGCAAGCAAGTTTTAACCCAATGAAAGAGAAGGAAAATTTCCAAAGTTTGTGTTATAGAGGAAAAAATGTCAAGATTAAAGGACATGCATAAAATAGCATGAACACAAAAACTCTCAGGCTCCTGATGCCTTTCAGGTTTAGTTCGTTTAAAATTTGTTGCAGCTACTAAAATGTAGCTAGTTGGAAGCAGAAAATTTTTTGAGAGGCTTGGTGTTGCACAGGAAAATTCAGACTTGACTCATGCTAGAGAGGAAGGCATAGGGTCTGAAGAGGCAGCAGGAGCCACAGGCCTCAAAATGAGCAAATGGGATGTTGCAGATACCAAAGCAGAGGAAAGATATTCCATTATATGTATTTGATGTACAGTCAACACACTAGTTCAACTGTAGTAAGGGTTCATGTAAGAGAAGGAAAAGGGCCATAGAATGAAGGGCTAGAAATGCCAGATTAAAGAAATTTGAACCACAGCCTCTACTCTTCAAAACTTTGAAGAAGTCTTTTTTTTAATATTTCCTCCAAATATCTGATTGATTATTGATTGATTTTTGGAACGCAAAGTTCGAAAGAGGGACTGACTTGTTCCATAAATTTTCATTGCTTCCCAGGTATTACTTGAATTACATATACAATCAGTTTTCTCTTCCCTTCTCCCGGTATCTCACACTCCTTTCTCCAACAAGGCACTGTTTTTCTTTCCCCAAATGAGCCAGGTTGTTTGATGCCCCTGTGTGTTTATTGTGCTGCCCCATCTATTTGCATTTCCCTTCACCCTCCTCCTTCCTCTTCTGAAAGAATTCTATTTAACCTTAAGATTTATATCAGAAAATGCTTATGGATGTACACTTTTATTTTAAAGTACTGAATGCAAATGAACTGAAAGTTAATAGTGATTGTTGTTTAGACTCAAGCCCTACAAGGTTTGTTTTTATTTTCTTCATTTATTTTTGTTTTCTAATTTTATAATGCACATAAGCAGGAAAGAAGATGCTTCCAGCTGGTGTCTGGAGGGCCAGAAGTCATAGATATGCATCGGCTGAATGCATTTTTATTGAGTACCTACTCTGTGCTGGTCAGCAAAGATGCCAGAGAAAACAAAAACGTGGTTCCTGCTCTCGCGGAGCTATGGTTAGCTCACAAGGTATTGTCAAAACCAAGCAGTAAGTGTCGTCCCTTCCATTTCTCTTCTCCACCCTCAAGAGATTAAATTTTGTCATTTGTGTCTTTTTTTTTTTTTTTTTTGCTGTATAACAGCCACTTTCATATTGTTACAGTACCATTTCCAAATAAAATCGATCAGTTGGCCATCAGGATTTTGTATTTTGTTCTGTGATCACATTTTCTCCCTTGTATCTCCTGGAGCAGGTCTCTGGTTCCAGCACTATGTGCTGACTTCTGGATGGGTTTTGAAAATGTGAGCCATTCACCTAAGACCTTGCCTGGTGGAAAGGGGTGGGAATAGAATTATGCATCACTAAAATGACACCAGACTACATCAGCCTAGGGAGTCTCCTGGAAGACCACAGAATTAAAATTACTTAAAAAGAGAGAAATTTTAAAAATTAAAAGTGGGATGAGAAAGGAGTTGCTACTTACAGAAACTTTAAGAGGGGGAGCTCTTTCAGGGCATCAGGATCTATGTAAGTTAAGCTTCTGGTATTCCGAATTTCTCTGTAAAAGTTACAAGGAACACAGTCACCATAACATGCCCATTTATGTTTTTTTACCAAAGCTAAAAAATCATCAGTCAGGTTTAACAAATGTTCATAAGAAGTAGGTGCACTTATGTGGCACTGCAGTGACTGTTGCTCTCGGGAATCAGTCCCACCAGCCACAAACTACTGCTGGCTCCGCACAGGGACACACTGGCTATTCAGTCCCCCTGTTTCCCTGACCTGGTCTCAATGCATTTGAATTTATGGACCCCTTTCTCACAATAGAGTAGCTCCAGAGGGTTTTTCTTCCTTTCATATTTCGATAGAAAAGAAAAACCCTTCCAATGGCTTGCTTAAGAGTTGAGGACATGTATCTTTAGTATTAACAACAGCTAGCTTCCTGCCCAAAGCAATGAGCAAGGAGTGGGAGTTTGAGTGAATTATATGGTAGATGGCAGCTCTGTAGGAAGGAGAGAGGGGTGCTGTCAGTTGACATTTCAGAGGAAGGGCACACAGTGAGCATGAATATTTCACAGGAGTTTATTTTGCCATGGCAGTTAAAGATTCTTCAGCATAAATGTTGTGATCTCATATGCGTCTGTAACTTACATACTTAGATTCCTATCTATGCCAATTAGCATTTGTGAAAACACCAACTGGCACTAGTAAAATTAAAAATATCAAACTATGTAGATTGGCTAAAAATGTTTAAAGGCCTACCTGTGCTTATAGACAAAGTGTGTAAGAGCCCAATTAAACCTGTATTCTTTCTCCTTAGGGATGGCTCCTAAGGCTTGATTCCAGTCATCAATGGTACCAATCAGAAAAATTGAATCTGACCTCTGCAATTTTGTAAACAGTTTTATTGGAGGAGGAATTACATCTCATAAAGTTCATGTGTTGTAGGAATACAGCTGAATAACTTATAGTTAATATATACAATTGTGCAACTATCATCACAATCCAGTTTTTGTTCTTTTGTTTTTTGTTTCGTTTTGGGTACCGAGTATTAAACTCAGGACTCTGCACTTGTGAGGCAGGCGTGGTGCCACTGAGATAAATCCCTGGCCCCACAATTCAGTTTTTAAATATTTCTTTCTTTTTTTTTTCTGGTACTGAGGATTTGAACTCAGGACCTTGTGCTTGCAAGGCAGGTGGCGGAACCACTGAGCTAAATCCCCAGCCCCAGTTTTAAAATATTTCTTTCAGTGACAAAAGTTAATTCCCATCCCTTCCCTCATACCTATAAACCACTGATCTGTTTTCTATCTCTATAAATTTGCCTTATCTGGACGTTTCCTATAGAGAGAATCATATAATATATAGTTTTTTCTGTTTTCCTTCTTTCATTTAGTGTGATGGCTGGGAGGTTCGTCCACGTTGTAGCTGGTATCTGCAGCTTGTTCCTGTTCACTGTTGAACAGTTAGATGGATCTGAGATAGAATACTGGCTCTGCCGCTTCTGGCTACATGAGGTCCTTGACTTCTTTGAGATACAGTTTCCTCATCTGTAAAGTAGGGACAATGAGAGCACCTCTTCCTCCATAGGGGTCTTATGAGGATTAAATAATATCTATAAGGGATTTGGTGTGTGGCCTTCCTACTGTGGAAATCCTCCTATAAATACTAGTTTTATTATTGTTATTTTCACAAATTTAACAAAAGCTAGCACAGACTCTGACAACTTGGAGCTGAAGGTATAGAAACGTTCTTGCAAAAAAATCTTTTGTAAACCCTGCTAGGTTAGGTATTGTGACCAAGGACATTGACTATGAATCAGCTGTTGGAAAAAAGGATGGAATTAACTCTGAGGAAAGAATCTGTCTACTCCTCCTCCCATCACATGTAGCTTACTGTCTATAGTAATATAACCTTACTGGTCCATTGCCTACATTAATGTAACCGCCCTACCTTAGGAGAGACTCTTACCCAGGCAAATAACTTTATTTCTCACTATAGGATCTTCTGAGGGACCCATCAGTATTTCAATTGAAAGAATCAACTACTTACATCTCTAGGCTCTTAGAACATTTTGCTTTAAAATTCTCACCTTGTTGTACCTACCAATCCTGAACAATTATACTATGATTCTTACCCAGCCAAGTCCCTGTATTGAAAAGAGCCTCATTAAACCACTCTTTAAATTTTGTTCTAGTTTTAAAAGCACATCTTTGGGATACACTGGAGCCACTGGCCACCTGACTCCAAAATTTCATGACTACCCTGTCTTGCCTTTCCAGAACCCTCGGCAGATGTGGTTCTCTCTCTGATTCAACGTGAACAATTAACTCCTTGACAGAGCTTTCCTTATGGGGAGGAGGGTTTGAGCTGTTGTCAGAGACAAATGCATGTAAGATAGTTAGGGAGTTTGGGAATTGTCTGAGCATGGCTTGCTGGCTGGAAAGTTGTTTCAGAAATTTGAACAAATGTACTTGAATGAGTGGTCTGCAAAAAATGTCACAATGAAAGTAGATGCAGGTCACCTATTTCAGTTTAAAGGCTAGTGAGTGAAAGGGAAATGAAACACTGCTGCTAGTAACAGTTGATTAAATGAGGCTGGGGACAAATGTAAGGGGGGAAAAAAGAAACACACAAGGAAAAGAAGCTGCTTGCTGAGGTAAAAAGACGGTCCAGTCAGCTCAACACTTGCTCACAAGTGATTTTTAAAAAGTCTTCCCAGAAGCAAAGAAGGAATGGAATGGGGGTGGAGTAACCAGTAGCTTACCTAAATGGAGACAGATCACATAAGAAGCAAAGGCATCTAGTATAACCCTTTAAAAGACAGAAAGAAGGGCTGGAGGTAAGTAACAAAGAACCTCTAACTAGAGAAGGGGGAAAGCAAAGCCTAAATTCGAATTAGTTCCAAGCATGCCTGGGAGGGCACAATTTTGAGTTAAGTAATTGTGGCCTAAGAATGCAGGAGGCCAGCTATGCTTCCAGAGAGCTAGGACACGAACAGAAAAAAAACTTGCCTGTGATTTAGCACACCCCTCTGGAGTAAAGTCAGATCACTATTGTATGCAGCAGGCCTGCCTTGGCCTCCTGCGCATCCACCCAGTCCAGTTCCGTGAACAAGAAATAAATCTCATTCACCTTAGGGATATTGCATGTTTTTATTTTTTCCACATCTATTTTTTATTAGTGCATATTTGCTATAATGAGTGATAATGAGTTTCATTTTGGCAGATTCATACATGCACATATATATGACCATTGCCCCCCTTAATTTCACATTTTGTGGGAGCCTTTATACATATATTTTGATCATATCCATCCCTCCTATTACTTGCCTTACCATGTTTTTATTTTTTCCTGTTTCTTATCGTAATTTGCCTGACCAAACTAATACAATAAACATGGATAAAATTCTTAAAATGCAGGGCAAACTATTGCTAGTGGTCATTTTTAGTTCATGAGTTTGGAGGTAAGCAATGTGCAATTTTTACTTTTCACTTTATTTTGCTGAAAAGAAGGAAAACACATCATAAAAGGCTTACAAAATCCCCAAATTTAATATCAAAGCAAAGCAATATATATTCCATATTTTTAAATATCTTTAGAATATGCAATGCAAAGAGATCATCCACGGAACAAAAGATATTTGAACAATAAATTATTGCTTGATTCTCCTTCATTGGATTTTGAATAAAATAAACCAGTAAATTAAGAGTGTAGCATGGATGACCAGGGTAAGTGAAGTCACAAATCAGAAGACAAATAATTTAGTACACATTAGTCTAAGTTCTGGTTGCTTTCTTTTTCTGAGAAACATTTGCTAATTCTCAGTAAAAGCCCTGAGCAGAGAAATTGGCTTATTCAAGATAATGAGCACTGTGGATATTATCTAAAGGTAATAGACAGAGGGGGCAAACTCAGTAAAACCTGTCCAATTGGAACAGAGAAATGGTAGACTAGATTCTCCACACCGCCCCCCCAAAAAAGCCTTGTCTCATTTTTGTTGGGGAAAGAAAAAAAATCTAGTCTGCCATTTCTGTCTTCTACAAAGAGGTCAAGAAAAGGGAAAAACAGGGATGTGAGAGAGGAGGAGAGAAGGTCAGACATAGAGTTCAATTCTAAGGCTGCTTCTGAAGATTTCCAATCTCCTTTTGTTCGGATTACTCAGATGCCACAGCACTGTATTTCAGGGTTTTTTTTTTCCCTGAGCTCTAACAGGACAAAGAGAAACAAGAAGGCTTTAAACTAGCACATGGCAAGGAGAATGATTTATAATGAGATGTCTGGAAAAGAAAAAGAAGTTATCCAGCCAGCATAATTAAACTTTTGAGAAGTGCAATAATGCATGAGTATGTTGTTTAAAATAAAAAATCTGAATGGGGATATTAGCCCTGCACCGGCTCTCAGCATGCCTCCAGCTTAAACTTGTGCTTCCATTTGATTTTCAGTTTTTTAACAGTCTGACTATAAGTGGACATCGTTAAAAAAGCTGGAGGGCAGGTCACTTTGACTAGGTCTGCTTCCTCTAGTGATCAGAGAAGGAAGTGATTAAATGGATAATATTGGATGTCTAACTTATGGTCTGGGAGCTATAAGGAAATAGTTACTAATTATTTAAACATTTTATGTATTTCAACACCAAGTATTAATTTAAAGCTTAATGGATATTGGAGGAACCTTTAATTTTTAATTAATTTTATTGCTACATTTTAGGTATACAATATAATGACATTCATCATTGGAAATTTGCACCTTTACATAATCTCTCTCTCTTTTTTTTTTGTATATCCTTTTATTGGTACATTTTAGGTGTACAATATAATGACATTCATCATTGGAGATATGCACCTTTACATATTCTCTTGGTTCTTATTTTTTCCCCTTCCCCAGCCCTCCCTTCAACCCCTCCACCCCTCCCTATTTACAAAGACTTTGTTTCCATTTTTTCATTTTCTCATATTAATTCCACTCTCTTCTTTCCTTTCCTCTACCCCTCCCACTTCCCCTTCCCCTTTGCCCCGTTTCTTCCTACTTCACATTATCTATTATGCTTTGTGTCCT